GTGGCGGCGGTGGTGGGGGTGGTGGTTGAAAGGTGGTGGTTGAAAGGAGCTGGTGCAACCGTGGTCAGGCTTGTCAGTGTCCATGTCATCATCTTCGCAGTCCTAGCAACCACTGATGCGAATGATCGGTCCTCCTCGTGAGAGAAACGACTCTGGCGGGGCCACCCCAAGTCCGTTGAAGTGAAAGTCATCCTGCAGAGTTCTGATCGGGCTGCGCACTCTGTTGTCTTGGCGTTCAGCAACGCATGAAAGTTCGAGCTTCGTCACCTGCTTGCTGCTCGCCGGAAGGTCCATGCAGTAGGGGTCGCCTTCGGCGGCGTTTGAAAGTCAGACCCGACGAGCAAGTGCCCGGAGCAGCTCGGCCTAGACTCGAGTAGACTCGAGTACACCCAGCCTGCACTGGAGCTGATGCCCGCTGGTGCCCTCCGTGAAGCCATGAAAAGGCGCATCAAGTCAAGTATTGTCTCGGCCCAATAAAAAAAGGCAAAGCAGTATTCAGCCGGGAGCCTCAGGTGCCCTGGAGGGGCCAAGCGCGCCTGCAGCTCTGCTAGAGAGCTGCACACGAAGCTTTGCGTGATCGAACCTGGGCTGCACAGAAATCAAACTAGACGAAAGATCACATGCACATGGCCCACAATGTGCGGCCGGGCTGCGCAAAGACCGCACGTCACGTATCAGCTCGTCTGCCTGGGTACAGAAAGTATCCGACAGTCCTGGAACGGATCCCAACCCAGACCAACCTGTTTTCACAGCCTCAATTCCACATCTTGTACCAGGCTGCCCAAGCAGGAGGCTCGTCTTGAGGTGATCCTGTCCATATGGATCCGAAACGAAGCGGATGCTACTGCAAAGGTTTTTTTCTATGGGTTTAACACCTGTGGTTCATGCCCATGTCAGTGTCTCAGGAGCTGGTCGTCGAACGTGCTGCTACTGAGGGCAAGCAAAAGCTCGGCAATTCTGCACCTGCCTGGGTCATCAGCAGAGCCTGCCGAAAAAGGCTGTAGAGAGCACGGACAGCTGAGCACAGGTCGAAAGGCCGGAAACACCCCCAGTCTCAGAGAAAGGCTGGTTTGCCTCCTTCTTCTTCACACTTTACAGTGTTCGACTTTCGAGAGCTCAGCGTTCGACTTTTGATTTTCGATATCTCTCCCAGCTTTCAAGAGGAACCGCTGCGCCACTCGACCCAAAGGCACCCTGGTTCAGCCTCTATCGATCTCCAAAACCGGACCGCCTCGTCCCCAGGTGTCTGGCACAAGCTTCCGGGCCAGCTCTGTAGCCTGCCGGGCCACACGTGTGGGCTGTACTAGTCCCCTACCAGTCCCCTAGGGCCCAGCCACCCGAATGGGGAACTATAGAACCCTGTCTTGACTCGGGAGCAGAGGCGTAGGCAATGCTCGGGTGTTGCGTTAGCCCTCGGCACAACCAGAAAAGCATGAGCCGAGCCTTCGCTGTTAGGGAAGCTCCTCAGGTGCATCTGGGCTGGGACGGGCAAACAGGACCGAATCCTCCAAGATCGAATGCCTTCTCAGGGCCTCCCATCACTTCCAGAAATTTGACAATCTGCCCGATTCACCTAGCTGTGGATGTCCGCTTCGTGACTGCCGTGTCGTGAGGAACCTCTGACGTTCAGAAGTTCCTCAGTGCATGTAGAAGCTGCAGCTATTGCTTGCTTGGATTCGTTTCTTTTTCGGCGTGGGCGTTGACGGCGAAGAGGACCCACCTGTCCACAGTGCAGGGGCCATCGAAGTGTCTATGTCTATGTCATAACATGTGTTCGAACGTCGTCGTTTCACTCTGGTGTTCTTCGACTCCATTGCATGGCAGACAATGCCGGTCTAGCTCTCGCAGGATTCAGCGTCGGAAAGTTTTGAGAAGGCACCATTCTCAGCGCTGTCTTTGTGGGTCTCCTTGCCAGATTCTGTAGTCTCGCCACCTTCAGTCAGCAGACTCCAGCAAGGAGCTGGGCGACTTTAGGTTATCGGCAACACCTCCGTAGGCCTCAATCGGGCAATCATACCTTGCAGCCTTCTTCAATCGATATACAGAGGAAGGCCGAGGCGCCCAAACCCGGTCGCGGCCCGTGGGTCACGTCATTGTCGAGTGGGACAAAGAAATGCCCGGGTGCAGCAATGAAGCTGTCTGCGCAAAGGAGATGCACAGTCCCAAGTCTCGGGCTTTGGGCCTTCAGGTCATCGGGAATTGTATAAAATTTGCCGTCTTCCTATGCTTCGATTCTACTTCTTCTTCTCATTCAGTCGGGGATCGGAAGGACCTCGAGCAGCAGTAGTTCAACTGCTACTAGCACGACGCTTAAGATGCCCTTCCCTTCTGTCACTGCCGGGCTTAGCTCTTGGGCCTCTGAGTCTTCTGTTCTCCTAAGCTTGCACAGCCCACATTCAAGATGCTGCCAGAGGCACGTCTCTGGTCGCTGGGGGCACCTGCCACCCAAGCAGCTGAGGACATGGAGTTTACACCTGTCAGGAGCCATTCTGTTAGGACTCAGACATGTGACAAGCAAGGAAGGCGAGAGCAAGTATACAAATCGTTGCATGTGGACGACGGCAAAATCTCCTAGACCCCTACTTCTGATCTCCATGAGGCTACCAACATACCAACAGCCTTTGCACGTGCTTTTCCCTTGAGGAACTGCCTGAAGGAGTTCCTTCTCAGACTTTCTCAGCGAAAACGTGTGGTGTTCTTCGCTGTTGCCAATTTGATATCTAACTTCAACAAAGCCTTGGAGGCGTTGGTAAAAGCTGCTATTTCAATGACAAGCCAGGTCAGGCCCTTACATGCCACATTGGACATGCCTGATTCCATCCTCTGCATGCCCGACACAAGTTCATGAAGAAGCGACCTTGGATGGCAGAGCGGTTCATTTGCAGCCTGATCCTGGGCGGAGCTCCGATCTGCATGGCCCCAAGGCCCCAAACACGGATTTGATGGCACCGCCATCTGTCGCGATGGACAGAGCCAGTTCTCACCAGATTCGCCTGCAAGTCGCTTCATCTGGTCCGTTTCCGCCATGTACTTTGCCACATGGTGCCTTGACAAAGGGTTGTGATGCACGGCAGCTCAGCATGGAATTGGTATCCTGTTGCGTCGTGGGCACTTGATGTGCTCCACCTGCTTCCTCAGATTCATTATCAAGCGAGGGAGATACTCGCTCTGACGTCAGATTTGAGGTCTAAGACGGTCCCAGGCTCTGCATGCGCTTGATCTCCAGCGGACTTTCGGATACAGCAATTTGCTGTAGCCCCTGGCAGAATTCCTCGATTCCTGGGAGATGAAGCGGGATTCGTCTGTTTCGGGTGGATCTTACCGAGGTTTGCTGGCCGCTTGAAACGTGGGTTGTGGACAGATCCGGTCACAAGCAAACGGCCTATTTCATCCTACTCGTACTGGCTTGGTTTTTGCCTGCATCTTATGTTGATGTCGCCGGGCAAATGCCAACCGCCCAACTCTAAAGGAGCGTCCGATCTCGCCAGACTCCTGCAGATCCAACGCGTCGAAGAGCTCCACAGCATTGTCGAAACCTCAGGTCGCACCAAGCTTCGAGTTGCTCACCCAAACTCTTCATGAAACACACAACCATGAGCGAGGCCCGTAAAGAGCCCTGCCAGTGGCAGCGATGCGCTTCGACGCGTCGAGCTTCCAACAACTCGGCCCCAGACCGGTCAGGTCTCGCAGCATCTGGCATGCAAGTGACTGCAGAAAATCTCCACAACTACCAGCTCTCTGCCCACGCTCGTATTTGCGAAAACCGACCCTCGCTGCACAAGCCGCTGGATCGGGCCTTCTGCTCGCGTGGAGCTATCGCAGCTATCTCATCTCCTGGGTCTCAAGACCATCTTTCGAACTGCAATGAACTCTTGCTTCGTCAATCTTTCTCACCAGCGTAGCTGAACCGAAAGCGGGCGTGCACGGCAGTCTCGGCGACCGTTTCGCCGGTGCTTCTGTCGAAAGGATGAATCATCTCACGTCGAGGGGCTGGAGACCTCGCCGGAGTTGTCGTGGTCCAGGCGGAAGAACATGGCGCGTAGGTCGGCTAGGACCTACATAGAGCAGCGCTCTGTGCCAGCTTTGTGCAGCTGTCCCCGCGACTCATGTTTGCTGCTGGCTGTGGTTTGAGGCCTTCTTCCGGTTCTGCTCCTCGATCGCATGCCTCAAATTTCGTGAACCAACCCACGGACCAGCATGCCTTTTCTGAAGCACAGCCGAATGGCCTGGTGTCTGAAACAAATTTTCCAGGTGCAACAAAACTCTTGCTTCTCCCTCAATGAATGAACGTGCAGACGAGGCGCAGCAAGCTCTTATCCTTTGCCGCCTGTTCTAGACTCGAGTTGACGATCACAGCCGTGACCTCGACTCTTGTGATTCCGTCCCTCGAAAGGCCTTCTGGGTCATTATCCCGCTCTCTCTCTTAGTGCAGCATGGCCACAGAAAGCGTCTCAGTATCGTGCGACAGGCCCCACCACTCACATCAAGTTCATCTGTGCTGCCACAGACTGGCGTCCAGCTACCACTCAATTGGCGGGGTATCTTTGGACGGTTCAGACCTGGACCCACTGCCCGTTAAACTCCCACAGATTTACGCGATCTTGCAAGGATCCGGCCAAGTTCATGATCACGATACCGACGACCAGGATGACCTCAAGGAAAGACATGCAACAACAATGCTGTCATGCGGTCTTCTTCGAACCGTCAAATACAGAGTTGTTTGTCGCATCTGGTCTTCATGGATGCGCGCCAGCAAACATGCAGCAGCCCACCCACGGGAAAAAATGCCAGAGGGGTCGCAAGTGTGCTGCCCAAGCGCAAGAACAAAGTAAAGAAGGAGGACCTGGCATCAGCAGTGCATTACACAAAAAAGTCAGCATGGCATAGCAAACAAGTCCCGACTCTGGTTCGCCACACCTTTGGACGTATTTGGCTGCCACAGTGGTCTGGGACACCTAACTCCATTCTGTTGCTTCCCCTGTTTGGGCTTCGCGGTCAGGGCAGATTGGCTAGCTGACTACAGTCGCTACAGTAGCTCCCACTGCTCAGAGCCAAGTGCAAAGGAAGGAAGTTCGCCGGCAGCACCCCATCTCTGTCTCCGAGCGGCTTGTACACGTGAACCTGGCATTACCCAGCACAACGGACGACTAGCCACCTAGCCATAATGATGCAGCAAAATCATGGAAAAGTCAGTTTCAACATGTTTCAACTCTTACAACTCCCGTTTGGAGTTTCGAGGCGATGCTGAGGTGTGCAAGCCCAGGGCTAAGTTGCAGGTGTCTGCAGCGCGAACACACATGAAACGCAAGCCAGGCACAATGTTGTCGAAGGAGACAAACCTGGACACTTTTCGCGCTGCTCGTCACGAACCCGCTGGAAAGCAGGTAGGGTAGATAATGCTTCCAGGATCTGCATCTGCTTAACAAAAACGTCGACGATGTTAAGCTGTCACAGACCTTCCGTGCCGCATGCCAGGCAAGAGGCTGAAGAAGAGTGACCATGGCAGCTGGCAAATTACCTGGTGCCAGAGACATCATTTACCGAAGGTAGGCCTCTGCTCCAACCTCAGCACCTGCATCTTCTGTCAGCTCAGGTTCTACCAGAGCAACCCTGCGAAACACGCGCGCTAAGACCACCAGCTCTTGGACTGATGGATTTCACTGGTCAGCCGAGGCTCTGAAGTTCTCCCTCACGACCCTGGCAAATTCCTGGCTCGGGGCCAAACTACATTGACAAACAAGGAAAGGGTCCAAGCGCATTGGGCCTCGTCTTCTTGTATCATTGGGTGCTGATACAAGAGCTGCAGGATGAGACATGCAAAAATATACCTTGGACTGTCTGCGCTGTGGAGATCATCAGGCCAAGTTGTGCTAATGGCAGGATGAGCTGCAGTATCACTACGAGAAGAAGGATGGTGTAGATCATGGTGTAGGCTGAGTTCGCCAAACCTGCCAACAGCAGTTGCAGATTCACGCGGCCGTGTTGAAGAAACGACAGGGCCTACTACCAGGAGCCAAAGCTCGCGGAAGCGCATCAGGTAGCGCACCGTCTTGGCCTTGCCCACATGGACACAGCGGGATCCGCCGGGAGCAGAGAGCGCAGGAGAGCGCGGGTCTCCGTCCGAGGGGCGAGTCTCAGGAGCCGCGCCATGCGCAGGAGGATCAGGGTGTTCACCTCCGCCAAAAGATGCCAAAAGGCAACGATTTTCTTGGCTCTCCTTGGCCGCTCTGGCCCTCCTGGCCTCGGAAACATCCGAGAAGAAGGGCTCGAGAATCCACTGGCTCAGCACCCCCACGACGACAAGGAACGTGTCCTGAGAGGCACAGAGCTCTCGCACCTTTTGACCTCGGCCTCTGACAGCGAGCCAAGGTGCGAAACGCACCCAATTGTCCGAAACAGCCCGTCTGCAGTCGACGAAGAGCCGCATCAGCAGCTCGACCACGTAAACCGCCAGGAAAACATGCTCCAACCTTTAAAGAGGCAGTGGCCCACATAGCTTGACACTCCAGCTGTCCTTTAATGTAATGCACGGTTACGGCAGTGTCTCCGGAGCTTCTCCGAGCAACGTACCGCAGATGGTCGTGTCCTTGCCTTCCGCCCGCCATGTCAGGTCCAAACCTATGTTCACCTGAGTCTGCTCCAGCCATCAAGTGAAGCCCCGGAACCGTCGTCCCACGAGACGCACATCAAGCGACAGTTTATCTGCTTCGAAGCCCGGGCACAGCATTGGCAATGATGATGAGGCCAAGGAAGGAATCGAATTTCTGAGAATTCAGGAGCTCTCCTGGCACGATGGACCGGGATGGTGTATGCATGCACGGCTGAAACTCGGCAAATCAGCTCTGGCCTATGTAGTGTCGAAGCATTGCCACTCGAACCTGCCCGAACGTATTACCGAGGCTATGCCACATGGATCTGTGACACTCACATAGCACATCCTGAACGCGGCGTTGCTCAACTGAGCACTCGTGCTGCAAGAAAGCTTGTGACACCAGCGCGAAAGAGTAGAAGAAGCAAGCAAAGATGCTCTTTTGTCAGGAAACTAAGCTACATAGCCTACATAGCTACATGGTCTGCAAGCGGCTCTCCACTTTCCTCCTGCCTCGAACTGCGTCAGAGAGCGGTTCCTGTAGCCTCTCCGCCCAGAACGGCTCGACTTGGGCGAGTGAGATCGAGCAGATCGTGGAGATCGAGGAGATCGAGACCTTCTCAAACATACCCCATGGCTTGGGGTTACCGAGTTCCTACTTCCCAGCAAGCACAACCTGTCCCTTGCAGGTAAACACAGTAAGTACTGGCAGTAGAGACCACCTCAGCTTCTGCTGGAACCCAGTCCGGCGCGCCTGGACGATGGCTCTGATGGTGCGCTTTGCTCAGACTCCCCCAGCACGAGCGCTGGCTGCGGCACGTCGACCTGCACGGAGTGGCTAGCATCTGGCCGGCTATGCTCCTCTCTCCAAGCTCAAGCTGCGGGTTTCGGTTCGCCGGGCAACTTAACAGGGAAGCTGGTAAATGGGACCCTACCTCGATGCCCTTGATGATCTGCACCGGGCTTGGACAAAGGGAGTCGGTCAGCCCGACGAGCGGCGGGGACTGCACAGGGACCGGTCTCGGATCGCGCACATCCACACGTTTGGCACCAGGTGCAGCTCACACCATATGATCCACATGCCTCCACCGTGTCCATAGTCGCGCTGTCCTTCATCATGAGTTCCGCATCTTTATGATAACCTGTTTTCACGGATGCAGAGTCTGACGGCTGCCACGCTGAATTTCAGCTTGTCATTGCATGTGCTCATCACGGAGCTGCGCGTGGGCTGGGCTCAAATGCAAGCAAGGGTCATTCTTGCAGGGGAGCCGGAACCATGATAGGCTCCTCTCAAGCTCTGGGCAACAGGTTGACAACATCAGCACTATGACAGGAGAATCACTGCCAACCCGTCTGCAAAACCCGCTGGCTGGGTTCAACCAGGAAGGAAGTTGACGAGAATAGCCATGCAAGAGACGGTGCCCCTCCCGGCCTTTCCCCTGCCCGAGGCCCGAAACCTCAGGTGAAGCCGGAGCCTTTATTTCAAAGACTTTCCGTTATCGCACTAATCGAGGACGAGGACGTACGAGGACGAGGCCTGGCTTTGCTTGCATAATATACGAAAAGTCAGAAGCACTAAGGTTCCGGCGGATCGCTTTCCATTGAGCACCCGCAACAAAAGTAATTTCTTGCCGGCTTGTACTTATGTTTGAACCTGTTGTGGAATCGAGCTCGGCTTCGTCATGGGCTTTGCTTTCTCTCTCTACCGAACGCATTTTCTGCACTCCCACCCTGAGCCCAGCTGCTGGTCATGGGGCCTGATAGTGGGGCTTTGAGCGTCCTCTCCAAACCGTTCCAGTCCTGATCTCTTCTTCGAGCAAAACGCTGCGAGGTCCAGACATGTCCAGACATCCACGAACGTGCTAGGCTTGAAACCCGCAGCTTCTTGTTTCTGGCTCAGGTTGCAGTGGAGTCAGAGTGCACAGTCCAAGGAAACAACGCCGCAATGCCAATGACTTAATCATTGAAGTGATTAAAACCCCATCCAAACCTTGCAGCCCCTCGAGGCCGGAAAGTAGCCACAGCCACCACATGCAACCATGACCCTTTTCACTTGAAAAGAGGGGGGCCCCAGGGCACTTCACGGGCCCTGCCGCTTCGATGAACTCGCGGCACCGACCTCAGAACTTCCCTCGAGCCTGAGGGCCTGAGCCTCCGCCGTCCGAGCTTCCCAGAGCTCGCGGCATTTGTTCGTCGGCTGTGAGCTTCTTCCTGCACATGACGCAGGGAGACTCTGCACTTGCATCATCCTGCATCGCTCAGCCAAGGTATGAACACCTCACGAATCATGACGTTGGCTTTGGCACGCGATGGTGCTGCCGACCTCGAAAGCCAGGTCCCACTTGTCAAGGCACCGGACATCCTCGGCTTAGCAGCTGGGTCTTGCAGTGCGGCTGTCGGCGTCATCAATCTCTGTCGCCAACTACCAGGTGCCCCTTAGCCTGGCACCTGCTCGGTTAGCGCCCCATGCTCATCCACATCAAAGCCTGGGCGCGAGCTTGACAGCAAACGAAGAAATCGAGTCGCTCACGGCCCAGATCTTCTGCCCATCTCAGCAACCGAAGGCCGAAAAGGCGTGAATGCCGACTGACTTCAACAGCAAAACATCGCGGACACAGCTGGAATGTGCTAGAACATCGCGCTGCGACAGAGGGTACCAATCCGAGCTTGTAGAAGTGCTTGCAAAACTCTTCAGAGCACCGTCCGCATCGCTAGCTGAATCGCTGGGCGACGGACCCTCGAAGAGTATCTCTGCCGCCTGCTGCTAGATCATACAAAGGCACGCAATGCTGCAATGGGGCGCATCAAGGCAAAACCTGTGCCTCTTTTGCCAACACCTCCTCGTCCACGAGGGCCTGCCAAGCCATCGTGCATTCAGAAAGCACGCGACCGTGAGAAACACTCCCACCGTCAGACCTTGCGGAACATGCCTTTCGACAGCTTCAGGCCCTGGGACTCCAACCTCAATATCTCTGGGCTGCGTGAAAGTTTGGAAAAGACAGCACTCGCTGAAGGACAGGCTTCTTCAGCAGGGACGCCACGAACTTGGCCTCAGCTCCAGCTGCCACGGGACATGGACCAGTCTTCGCCGGAGCAGCACAACTCAAAATCGCACTGGGCTCGTGTAGCTGTGTGTTTCGATTTCTCCACTCATAAACTTGCTTAGTTTAGTATGACTTGCACTAGCAGTATCGAGCACGAGGATGTTGCGCCGTCCGCGATGGTGAAAGGGCTAGGGCTAGGAGCTTCTTGCAAGCCCTACAAGCCCTACAACACTCTCATTCCATGATCTGCGTCAGTCGTCCATTGCCACCATGTCTTGTTTGCTATGTCGCCATGCGTCGACATGCTGCAATTCCAGCACCTCTTGCGTCTTGGATACGTTGGGCAACCTTACCTTCCGAGAGACCTTGTCATGAATCGCACGTCGGCGGGCGATTGCCCAAGTCTCGTGGCTCAGTGGCATTTGCTCTGAGGGGCCGGGGATGGGGACGGGCGGACTTCTGCTCCTGAGGACAAGTTGCACTGAGACCACCGCCACGCTGCCATGGCTCAGGGTCGCCCAGCGTTTCAATCGAGTCGCAGCCTTCCGCAGCGGACTGAGACTCCATCGCGCCGGATCACTTCACGTCTGGGGCAGCCCTGTAATGAGTCAAATGTCGGTGCGGCCTCGAAAGCCTCGGGGTAGAAGGTGCGCAGGGTCGCCCAGCCGAAGCACTCCTTGTCCAGACATGCCAGTTTGAAGCTCCCACAAGGCCAGGGCGAGCGGAGGAAGCGAGACAGAGAGCGAGGGCGAGAGCGCGAGGGCACGCGAGCGAGAGCGCGAGAGCGAGACAGAGAGAGAGCGAGAGACGGGAGAGACGAAAGAGAACAGAGAGAGAAAGAGAGAGGGAGGGATGGTAATTGCAGAAGCGGAGTGACAAGGTAGGTAGGACAGATTGCCACCTGCCTCGTCCAGCGTCCTCCAGACCTGAACCCACATCGCTCAAGGCTCAAAGGCACGCTCATGATTCAAGGCTGTGAAGGATGGTGACGGTTCTCTGCGCCAGGCCTTGGCTGCGTCCTCCTCCATGTTGGGGAGGCCGCCATGGCGGCGTGCGATGTTCGCCTCACGAGTTTGTCTCAAGATGCAGCCGTCGCCCAGCCAACCCCGTTCTCTCAGTGTAGGACGACACCAAGCCGAAAGCGGAACCAAGAGATCCGGAACAGCCTTTGCAGAGACCGACTCCGGCGCGGCCACTGTTGTGATGCAAAGCAGACAGGCGTGTCTGCATGGACCATCCCCCTGACTCTCAGAAACGGAACGAGGGAAGGAGGGCGTGGTCTGAGCGTGCACGCTGGTCGGGATCCCATAGCCGGAACCTCATTTAGCCACAAACAAAACAAAAGAGAGTAAGTCAGAGCCCAGGAAGCAAAACACAGGGAGCGTCCTCCGACGGAGGCCCTGGCCAGGCACGCAGAGCGCTCCCGTGGAGCTCGGCCAGGGCCTGTGGGCTACAGCAGAGCTGCGTGGCAGAGCGGAGGTTTTTGGAGGACCTGGGGACGACTGGATATGCCCTTCTTAGGACATCGAAAGATCCCAGGGTGTGTGTGTGTGTGTGGGGGTGCATGACTGCATGACTGCATGCATGTATGTATGCATGTGCGTACACGGGTGTGTACGTACGTAGGTACGAATGTTCGCAAGTACTCATGTTCTTTATGTCCGTATGACGGTGTGCATGATGCATATGTGTATCTATGCCTGTGTATGCAACAAAATACCGTATAGATGTTTTTACCCGGCCGCAGTGTAGATACAGATATAGATGTAGATGTAGATGGAGATACAGATACAAATTACAGAGATAGATATATACATTGATATAGATATGGGTTCAGACAGAGATATAGATATAGATACAGATTTAGATATAGATATAGAAATGTATAAGTCTATAACTGTCAAGGAGTTATGCGATGCAATCTACTTTCCAACTACATAGTCCCGTTCGTGACTGCTTCGCTGCCTGCGACAATCAGCATGCGACAGACTCCCAAACAGCAAACTCACTGGCTAAACCCGCTGCGCTGCGTATTCAAAGTGTATTCGCCCTCGTCAAGAAGGAGACCTGCCTGCTTTTCGCACCCTGGCAAACTGCCCCCTCGAATGAAACAACGGCTGATAGGCTGGGACAGCTGCGCTCCGGAAGCTGTTGAGCAGCCGCAAGTCGCCGCGGACAAAGTAAAACGGTGGTGGGGTCCTCGTGGGCTCGGGGAAGCGACCACTGCCCCTCGAGGCGCGAAAGCAATGTTTCTTGCACTTGCTCTTGGGTGCGCGGCCACCTCTGCAGGAACAACAGGTCTTTGACCTCACCAAGACTTTACTGATGTGCTCACGAGCCTTCTGCAGCCCGTGGCTTTTGATCCAAGCTAGAAAGAAACAGGCACTACCAGTATCTGCCATGACCCAACGGTACCTCTCGGCGGGCTGAAAGGAGCCTGGACTGGGAGCAGACTCGGAGCAGTGCCGAAATTGTGGTGCAGTTGTAGCGGCCTTGGCCCGTCAAGGTTTTCTTGAGCAGATCCCTCCTTTTTGCCCAAAAACCACTGAGGACGCCACAAAGCAAGTCAAAGAGTCTCCGGGATGTCCCCTGATAAAACAGAGCGTTTCTGTGGCAAAATCCGACTAGCTTGGCTTGGGAGGCTCAGGAGCCCGCGGGAGGGCAGTTCAACGCATCCATCGCTCGCACAAATCTGGGCGCGGCAAGGTACCGGGCACCCTGCTCCCTCAGACTCTCACGATCTCTTGCGAATCTGCTGCCGCAGGGCTCATCTTTGCTGGCTCGATGGCTGCCTTTGGAGTCCACCTGCAGGCGACATCTCAGCACTGCTTCTGTTTGGAGATCAGCACTGTGCGGTTGATTGCACGCCCACAGCGTCTGAGCTCTCGGCAGATTTCATGAACTTCTCGGCGCTTCCTGGCAGCGAGTATCCTTTGTGGCTTCAGACCGCCGCCAAAGGCCCAGGCCTTCGAACTGCTGAGTGAAGATCACCTCGGATGGGACCCAAGCCCATGCATTTGTGTACTCATCAGGGAGGGAAGTGGGCTCTCAGCCTTGAGGTCGGCCAGCTGCATGGCAGACTCTGGGTCGATGTCACTGAAGAGTATGCTACCTCCAAGACCGCGACTCGAGCTGGAGCTGCGACCTTCTGGAGCCTCGCCTGAGCCATCGTGGTCCAGCTGTCGCCACAGGGTCGTCAAGCAGCCGGAAAATCCGATCTCCTCGCGGCCAGTGGGTTCCCAGTTATTTCCCTGCACCTTCACCGCACCCACGAGCACGGGCCTCGCAACCCCGGACAAACTGCTTATTGGCCAGCTTCAGGTGCTCCTGGCACACTGCATCTTACTCTCCCATCATCCGCTGGTGCACAATCACAAACCCCTATCTGCGCTGTCACGGCACAGGCTGAGTTCAGAGACTTCGGTTTGATCATGGCTCCTCGGGATCCAGAACGAACCACAAGCGCACGCAGTTCCCGAATCTTCCTTGGCTTCCGAAGGCAGGCGCGGCGCATGGCAGTGCACGAAAAAACCGGTAAACACCACCCTGTGCACTTCTTGATGTGAGGCAGGCTGCTGTTTGCAAACGCAGTGAAGTCGGTCTGGGCCTGCTTTCAAGAATCGACCGGAGACGATGAAGACCCAAAGTAGGCAAAGCAGCACAGGCCAAGGCCTGCAAGCCTCTTCGCAGCGCTGTGTGGCGCGGGCTGGGGGCCTCCGGAGCCTGGCGACCCCGGTTCTGAAGGAAATCCGTCTCGGTTACCAGGCTACCACCACCTCGTTCTTATCCGGCTTGGGCTTGACGAGCCGCGGTGGCGGTGTCTCCGGCCTGACAGATGCAGGTCTCCCTGCTGTTCTCTTGAACATGGGATAGCACACGATTAGATGTCCGGAGAAGCAAAGTACCAGAGTCGAGCAGGGTCGTGCACAAAAGATGTGGAAGCTGAGCTTGTCTAGGCCCCGACCTCTTCATGGCAGCTGCTGCCCGGCTACCGACTAGCCCTGCAGCACGACTGACCTTCGCACACAGGTGTGCACAGGTTTTCTGAGAATGAACTGCGACGTTCGGGCTTGCATGATCGAGCCCCGCGCCGCGAGGAAGGGCTTCAAACCAATCCAGGGCTCGGGCTTTGTCATCGATGTCCGCCAGAACTGTCCGCAGCTGCGGCAAGTTGTCCACGCCCTGATGTTACTGGAAGCTTGACTCCGAGAATCGCTCCCCGTATACCCCTTCTTTGCAGAGCCCCTCACTTTCAAACACTCTATCATACTCTATCAACAGTAAGGCAAAGGCAGCGCTGGCAGCTGGAGGCGCCTGCGCCTCTGTTTCGTCCAGCGCATGCCGTGTGGCCAGCACCTGTGGGAGACATGTTAGGGCCTCTCCCATCAAGCCAATCCCCATGCCATGCGTGCACCTTCAGAACGAAGGCGGCATGCTTCAAGGCCAGGAAACAAGCCCCCCGCGAGCAGCGCACGAAGTTTGCCTGGCACTGGCACTCGAAGGGATCCTCAAAGCCTCTAACTCTGCGACTCTACGGAGAAGGCCTGCGCTGCAGCCCAGTTGAGCTGAGCGTCCTCTAGCAGACGCAGAGCTGGTACCTCGGCTCCGCAAAGCACGCGAAGCTCCAGCATCGGCCTTCAAGCGGAAGCCCGCGGCTTTTTGAGGATAGGATTTCCACGTTGCAAGAAAACAAAATCGCGAGCTGCTGCTTCATTCTCGAGTCGAGTCACAAACTTTTCCAGCACGAAGGCCTGGGCAGTCAAATTTTCCCCTGAACAACGGAAGCATGTCGGGATTGCGGCAACTTTGAGACTGGCCTTGTGCCCCGATGCCTCGCTGCCCAGCGGCAAGTCACCCACTACCTCCAGGCTGGCACGGCGCAGCACCGCACGATCACGATGACCGATGCTGGCATCACAATCACAAGTCTTGCAATGCCGAAGACAATTCAAGGTGGGCACACCAGGCAGGTCTGGGCACTGCACTTCGGGTGGCTTGTATTGTCCAGCTGAACGGAAGGGCATCTTATCGTGCCTCAGGGAGCCTTGAGGCAGCAGCAGCATCCAACACCAGCCAGGTCTGTGTTGCAGGGGGCTTCTGGTTTGCTGCGAAGGATGTCATACCGTTGTAAAAAGTGTTGAGCCTACGAAAACTCAAACTAGTGACGTGGATTTGGCAGGCCCTTTCTTCCCCACCTCGGCGGGTAACCGCACCTCCCCTCCGGCGCCCCGCAAGCGGATGGGGGTTGCAGCCTGGCACGAGTTATTCCTGGGGGGCCTCAGTAGAGTATCCCCCAAGAACTTAGCAAAGACGGTCCGAGGCCACTCCATGCGCATGCTGAGTCCCTGTGAAGAAGCCATGGCTTGCAGGAGCAGCAAGCTTGATGTTGCACCACGTCTTCTTCTCAACAAGTTTCAAAAGAATCTTGGCATTCTCTCATCAAAGCATGGACACGTGATCATGCGCTTGGCACAGGCATGCTCGTCGCCTCGGCAACCACGATGTTCAGGGCTTCCTGCAAGCAGTGCTGATCGGCAGCCGGATCATACTGGCTTAGTTGCAAGAGGTATGAGGGAGATCCCCTGGCCCGAAGGCCTGCCTTCAGGTACACACTCTCCAAAGGCTTCTTCCGGGGCCCGTATGGCTAGTTGCTGCTCGCTGCGCTTTGTGTAGTTCCTTGCTCCCCGTTCACGTTTCCACATATCCCCTAGACCGAATGTTCGACGAAAAGGTTCCCCGGGCTGAAAGCGAAAGGCACCACTGAGGGAGGCACGGCAGACTGCGAAAACTGCTAGGGGTGAGCTTTGTGTTGTCTCCACCACCAGTTCTGGTCCGGTCATGGAAGGAGCAAGCAGTGCTTCCAGGACGGGACATACCAGTAGTCCCGGTGCAACTGCACGCAAAGGTGGCGCAGCCAGTCACACCGCCTTGGGTGGACTGGTGCTTGTAGAACCCCGATACAGCGATTTCGCTCAGTGAAGCCTGCTCACTGGCCGCCAACATCGATCCCACTAGGCTGACTTGACACGGTGCATGCAAGCAGGAGCTTTGTCGTTGGTGATGCACTGGTTCATGCAGTGGTCCCGAGAACAGCCCACCAACTGGGCCATGCAGGATGCGCAAGAGCCGGAGTAGCCCTTCTTCTGCATGAAGTCTTTGGTGCATGGGAAGCCAGCCGCACAACCACGGCCGCAACTGTTGAGGGCGGCGTCGAAGCTCCTCTTGCCGCCGCTCTTCCAAGTCTTCACGTCTGCGGCACCGGTGCAGCCACCACCTTTGACCTGAGTGTCCTCCTCCACCGGCGTGGACTCCCGATGCCCCGCAGGGTTGAGCTCCAAGGCTGCAGCCCTGCCCGGCTTCGCAGACATCATCCGACGCCCAAAGCGTGGCCTTTGCGAAAGGCAGCTGCAAAGCTCAGGAACACGAACAAAGCTGGGAAGGCCATGGCCGGCAAGCTGAAATCAAGAAGCGCTTCGGGACGACTGCAAGAGCGAAGTCGGGCTTCAGCCAAAACGGGCTACCCGGCCACCCGCCTTCACTTCACTCCGGGGTTCAGGGAGATGTTGTGAGGCCTTGTGGGGGAGAGTGAAAACCCAGAGTCGCCGGTAAAAAAAATATGATATGGTTCGATCATCCGCCTTCTCCCTCTCAATCTGCCGCTTTACATCAGTTTACAGTGGCCAACGTCGCGACACTGGCACAGGCTTCCGCTACAGTCCGACACATCCAAACATGCAACCTGTTGCGAGGAGCTCATGGCACAGCCTGCGCAGCAGCGGCATCGGCTTCGCTGTGCTGCGGAAGTGCACGAGGCCGACGGCGCCGGCGTCGAGGCGGCGGCTGGACAGAGGCGCTCGCAAAAACACTTCGTGACATTGTTTATACAATTTTGCATGTTTCAGGGGATGCAAAGCTTGCACTGCGCCTGCTGTGCCCGGGGCTTCAGCACACAGCTAAGCTTGAGGTACTTCGGCACCTTGCCGTCAAACTCGAAGCCTCCCAGTCGCAACTGCGTTCCCTGCATGGCACCGATTCCTCTGCACTCGCAGAAATTCTGCGAAGACGCGACCCAGAAAGATGCTTCTGAATCCAGTTCGGGCCTGGGCGGCTCGGCGTTGCACTTCGCTCCTCGCTCCGCTCTGTGGCCTTTGTTGCTGCGCATGCTGCTTTGCATCTGCCCAATAGCTTCTTCAAGGGTGATTTCCGAAGTGGGAAGGGGCCAAGTCACACTCCGGGTGCCAGGCACAAGAGCTTTGACACCTTTCGGGGTCCTCTCGGCCTGCACCGAGTGTGGCGTAGTTCTGCATCGCATAGCGTCAAATCCAGCAAAAAACACCAGAACTGAAAACGCGGATTGCCAGAAAGGCAAGTGCCGGCAGACCTGATGCCGACAGCTTGCCCTGTGCCCGGCGGATGCGCACCTCGACAGGATGGGAGGTTGGAAGGCCTCTCTCTCAGGCTTTAAGTTTAAACTTTAAGCTGGCAAGTGCAAAAGGCGGCACCGACCGGATCTTTGCCTGCGTGGGGCCGGCCATATTTTGACTGGGTGATTTGATGATTTGCTCGCCTCGTCGTGTCAGATATTGTTGCCTCTCGGGCAAACTTAAGATTCCCATCACTCTTAGTTAGTCACACTTTCATCCACAGTGCAATGCGTGTCGTTGCTTCACGCCGTTCGAAGGACCCTAGCTTCATTAAGGCGAGAAGCGTCTGAAGATCGAGATCTTATTCCCGGCTTGCCTGCACACCCTACTCTCATAGCCTGCAATTGAGATGAAGTGACAAGATGCCTCCCTTGACGGAAGTTTCCAACCTCCTCACCCGTCATAGTCAAATGGCTCAACTCTCTCATTCCTCCTGCTTCATGAACCAAACCACTCCCAAACACTGAACTTTAAGTCGCCCCCTCCGGGCGAGCGACCAGTTCGAGGGCCTGACAGCGCAAGCTTTGACTCGGGGGGGGTCCTCTTCCCTCAGTTCTGGGACTACGATGCAAGCCACCGGTTGGCTCATCTTGTTTCCCCGGTCATCGCAGGAGGTCTGTCCACCGTCAATGGTGAGTGGGATGGATACAAGGGAGCTGCCCGGCTAGTTGCGGAGGCGAAGTTGCGAGTTAGAGGGGCCGCAGGATGTCATAGCACTCTCAATCTGTTCCTTGTTATCAAGAGCTCGCATCACCTATGCACATTGTCCGGACAGTCGCCCTTCTTCAGCCATCAACCGGCTTTGTCCGGTCGGCCGCCCATCCAGGTGCTTTGAAACTAACCGGCAGGCACACCGCCGCTCGCATCAGCACGGGAGGAGATATGCATTAGTCACTAGCCAGTCGAGCATACTCCATTTTTAAGGGGGCTGTGCACATGGACAAAGCTCACAGTCCAAAGTTGGCAACAGCATGCAGCAGCGACTCACAGCATGTCTCTTGTATGTTTACTCCCGGAACCGGCGTGCCTGCACGGTTTCACATTACCTGTGCCAAACTGACCCTCTCGCCTTGCACTGAGCAGAGACCGCGAATCTGGAGCCACGCCCGCACGTTCCGAAGATAAGAGCATAAGACGTCCTATGTGATTCACAGCTCCTTTCATCCGAGAGGTCATAAATCGCTTCTCAGCTTGATCCGATGCTCCTGCGAAAGGGCTACATACCCCTCCCTAGCTCTTGACACGGCATCGACACGACGCAGCACATTGCATGGTCCCCTCAAATGAAAAATGGTGAAAGATGATGAAAGACCTGCTCCCGTCCTTGACTAATCTCATGAGTCCAAGGCCAGAATCCTTGATCTCTTGCAACCGGTTCTCCTGAAAACCATGCACAGATCCAGCCGAGCCAGCACGGGAAATCACATGGGTCAGCTGCGTGTGCAGAGGGCGGCACACAATACGATAATGAATGCTATCTCCTTGGCAATCTTTGCCTCCTCGTACTCCTTCTGCATGCTTTTCAGAAGCTCGTCCACTTCCTGCAGGATATGGAGGTCTGGAGACACAAGTTTGAATATCAGCTCATCTCACAGCACAATCACGGTCCTTCTCTGCTGCTGTAATGGATGCTTCCTGCTCCCTGATTTTTGAATTAAGCTCGTCTGCAGGCATTGCCATGTACTCCTGGCAACAGCTCGGACGGAACCGCTCCAAATTCTCAACCGGCTCCTAAGCACGAGCCGCTGCGAAAGCTTTGCCGAGAGAAGACAGGTTCAGTCACGGTTAAGAGGGGCCGACTCCAGCCAGATCCCTTTGTGCGAGTCGTTCATCGCTCTTGCACTTCAAGGGCCCATGGCGATAGTGCTGGCGCAGCCATCTTTCACTTTAGGCACTGCTCGCACCACGACTTGTGCTCAGTGCTAATGATAGACATGGTGTACTCTTCGGCCCTGTACATTCGAAGATCAAGACCGAAAGCATCCTCGCCATCAGCATCACCAACACCATCATCACCATCACCATCACCATCACCATCATCATCATCATCATCATATATCATCATCATCATCTTGGTTTTTCTACGGTTGCACGGCATGTGACACTTCAGGAACTGCGGTATCGTGACCTTCGGCACAACTGGAACCATGGACACCCGGATGCCCTTTCTCAGGCCTGGAACCCAAACTCAAACCCCCGAATCGTGCTGCCAAGAGAGATTTCTGAGGGGGTCCGAGCTCCGGCTCCTCCAGCTGCTTCCGGCTGAGCACGTCACACAAGTCGATGTTCTCCGGCCCGCAAGTCGGTCGAAGACTCTCCTCGCAGCTTTGCGGCGCACATCAGGAAATGTAACGATGCAAAAGTTGCCGCAACATCAGGGCACCTGTGCGAATTTCTGCAGACTCGGGAGGTCTCTTCCTCCCGTGTAGTCCTCGAGAAGAGTTGCCAGGCGGACGGTTCCTTCCTGATCCGAGAACGAACCGCCAGCCCTGTCCTCCAAGTTGTTTGGGTTCCCGTACTTGATGCTTGGGAAATTTTTGATGCCGACCTCGTCGCACTTGGTCTTTCCGTCACCAACGCAGTCCACGTCGGCCACTAGTATGCTGGAATGCTCTTTGTAGTCCTGGCCGAGTTGGCAGGTGCGGGCCTCTTGCAAAAGACCATGGAGGCAGGTTTTTCTTCACTGTGTCGGGATGCAAGGAAAACCCACAAAAACAACGACCTATGCCGCTTTGTATCTTCAGGGGCTAGCAGCTACCATCATCTAGACCTCTTCCATTATGTTTCTCGAAGTGCGGGATGATGCCGCTTAAACTATGAGAAAGACATACCTGTGGCAGCATCTGGTCGTCCTCCATCAACTTGTCCCATGCTGGTTTCATGCTCTTGCAGTGACCACACCAGGGAGCAAAGAACTTTACAAAAATAGTTTTGCCGGCCGTCTTCTCCTGACATGTCAACAGAAGGTGGCGCAAGGCTCCAGATCGAAGCGGGGAGCGGGGGAAGCTTCGAAGCTTTCTGAGCGCCGGTCGTCCCAGTCCGCCTTCGTGAGTTCCAGGCCCCCAGCGACGGCCAGAAACCCAGCAAGAAGGGCCACCCTGGCCGCCCCCATCGTGGGAAAATGCGGGGCAAGCGCAGGGTTGATGGGACTCTAGGTCTGGGTGAAGGCCAGTCTCGGTGTGTGCTGAGGCTCTGGGGCTCTGGGTATAAGTTTTTCGAGGCAACAGTAATTAAGGCTGATAATTGGTGGAATGGGCTCGTGAGACTTGGAGACTTGCAGTGACATCTTGCACTTCCATGTCGTCTCGAGCCAGGTAGGCAGCCGTCAACAAACCATAACGAGACATAGACTCAGCACCCGAAATCATATAATGTGCTCACAAACCTTTGAGTCCTCCTGCTTGCGCTGTAAACTCACGGCTTCTGCGTTGTCGGCTTTGTCATGGCATTGCATGCACGTGGCCGGACATGAACTCTTGGACCTCGGAGCTCTCAGAAACGCTCCCGGGTGGAGCGTCAGAGCGCACCCGCCGCCCGAGTCCCAAACATGCCACTGAGGGCCCTAAAGACTTCCTAAGTGTCGAAGAAGACTCTGCAGGACCTGTGCCCTCGACTTTGGCCACCACTGTTGCATTTCTTACAGGTTTTCGTGGTGCAGGGCCAATTCAATCAGCAGAGTCCGAAGAAACCACTGTCAGCCAGGTTTGCATTGTATACAAAGTCTGCGTTGAACCCTGGCAGCAAACATTTGAGGGCATCCTGAACTCCTTGCACGATGCGGGATGATTTGTGGAGTCTGAAGCGAGGCCACACAAAATCTTAATCGCTCCATCATCACGACGACGTGCCGAACGGTTTGCCGGGCTGCTTCAACAGATCGCTTCATACTCCAAACAGCAAGAAGTCACGAATTGCTTCTTGCAGCGACCTGGGGCAGTCAAGAAAGAGGCTCGTGACTAATGCCCACTGCCAAGGCCCCACCAAGTCACCCTTCCTCAATCCTCCTGAAAATAGTTTCCTATCCTGAACCTGCCAAAGCAGCCCGGTGTGGTAGGCCAAGCACCTTCAGGCCTCCTGCTTGGTGTACTCTCTGTACACCTAAGACGGGCCGTCACTTCCATGTGGCCAAAGATGCCCCTCCGCTTCCAGGCCTGCGCTGCCTTCATCAGCGAGAGGCCTCTCTCGTTGATCTCCTGCTCAAAGGTACTGCAATAGATGATAAATCATAGAAATTGTGGTATCTTATCGTATACCATAGTATATTATAGGGATGAAAGGCCACGGCCCCTCGAGGCTCCGAGAGCCTTAGGGCTCAGGGAAAGTGCCTGGCCTTCTGCTTCTGTGCCTTCAACTTCTGCCCAGCCTCACGGGGAGCTGTCGTAGTTACGAGGCTTAGACTTTAGACCAATGAGCGCCAGCTACCGGCAAGATGTTGCAGAAGCTTGCCCCCGAAGTAAGGCCAGCAACTTTCGGCAGATTCCACGAAAACAGAAGGAGCGCCTCGTACTGTCTCTGGAGGGACCGGAGAAGCGCATCGAGCTCCTTCTCAGCCGCCTTGCTCTCGGCCTCCCCTTCCTGGACGGAAACGATTCAAAAAAAGACCCGCGAAGAAAAAGACCACAGGAACCGGAGTCCTCGATCTTCGACTTCAGCTCCGTCAAGGGCAAGGTCATGTAGCCCTACGGCCGCGCCATTCAAGCCACGCTTTGCAAAAGACGGCGCTTGCCACAAGGCCTGCAGCTGCTTCTGCTGCTCTTCGTCGCAGAGCTCGACTTGTTCGGGGCTGCAGGATGGTTGCAAAGCCTCCTCGCTGCAGTTGCAACCCACGGGCGGGCGGGTTGCGGTCTGTTGCTTTCTGCGGCACTGAAGACAAGCTGTCACGAGAATCTGACACGAAGGGGTCAAAGGCCTTAGACTACAGTGCATTCTGTGACCTTCGAACTTCGCAGCGGCGACAAGCACTACTTCGGTGCGAACAGGCGAAAGTATTCGCCTCTAACTCTCGGACGTTCTTTTTCCCGACCCGAAAGTCTTGGAGCGGTTTCTCGGTCTGCGAACCGGGACCCTTCAGGTCCCACCTCGCGACCCTCCGTTCTGTACGAACAGCGCGACTCACTCCACTCTCGCGCGCTGTTCCACCACTCTCTGCGCGCACAAGTCCTCAGCGAACTTCACGAACTCGGTGAAGAGAGCGTCTTCGGGCAGTTCTGGGAGAAGCCGGAGCCAGTCGTAGGCTTTGGCGAACT